TTTTATACTTTGTAGAAATTTAATTACAATTTCGTTTGTTGCGTTTTTAATTATAGTTGGTTTATAATGATAATGATGATGATGAGTCGTGATATATTCTTTAAAGGAATTAAAATGCTAAGTTATTCAGACAACTTTCAAAATTTAAATTTATTTATGTACTTTTTCTAAACATTAATAACAATTATAAATTTTGCGTGTGAATAAATTGTAATTTTTTTGTTTTTTTTTTCTATGGTTTGTTGAATAATATTTTATTTCTATGAAGAATCTGTAATATTAAAAATTACTATTAGTATATTAATTATACTTTTCTGAAACCATGTGAACAATTCGAATACTGTATATAAAAGACCATTGGTTTTCGAAAAACCAATCGTATATAATGAAATTTTGATTTTAGTTTTCGAATTTAATCAGTTTACAAATTGAATTAGAGTATATATTAATATCTATATAATATCTATAGTGTACATGATATAACCTTGTAGAAAATTTTAAAATACAATAGAAATAAAATAATAATAACAATTATTGCATATGTTTGATGATATTAGCATGTGATTAGCATGTTTACAGCTAATACATATGTAATTTGTTATTGTCTGAGGTTATTTCTCTTAAAAACGAACTATTTTGTACATTACATTGATGTTATAAATGACACTTGTTTTTTTCGTTTTCCACACTGTATTTATTCTGCGAAGTTGTTCACCTTTTGTTGGGGAATCACCCTTAGATGAGGTCGTATAGCTCGAAGGATGATGACGGAGAGATGACTTCAGAAACTGGAAAAATAAAATTAAAAAAAAAGAGTTGTCTGTTCGGCCTGCGGGTGCCCGCCTTTTAATGTCTTCCTGCTGCACTTCGGCGCTCGCAGATGTCCTCGGGCCCTCAAAACCACTCCGACAACATAACGCACCTGCATCTTCTTCCATCATCAGAACACAACGATCCACCAGAGACGATCTAGATTCTAGAAAGAAGGAAGGAAGAAAGTCAGGCGCCTGTTTCTCAATCAAACTATATTCCTTCACAAGTTGTTAATTGCTACAGCCATGATTTATTGCTCGAGAAAATTGTAGTTCGAACACAAGACATATCTATCAGTTTTTGTAATTACCTGAACTGGGTAATTATAACTAGAGGGGTAATTAATGTTCACTGCTTTAACAATATGTAATTTAATAATAACTATGTAATACAATATGTAACATATTAGTTTGTATGCATTGGTTTTAACGACCAATGCATCATTACCGTTACATTTACTTTAGTATAGCAGATGTACTATAATAATATATTATATATTTAATATAAAAAAATAATTGTTTTTTATAATTAATTTTATAATATTTGTCAATAAAAAAACAAACAATTTTTGTACGGGGAGCATAGTGATATCGGTTTTCGAATAAAATCAGTTTCCGAACTGAAAGAGCAGTTCAGTTGTTTTTAGTTGTCACGGAGACCGATCACATTGAAACTGGAATTGTATACTATATTGTCATTCCTACCAACTGTGTATGTCAGTTACTGACAGTTGTTTATAGACTGTCGTTAGTTGCCATGGAATTCGATGTTAATGATGTTAACTATTATGTAATTTTAATTTACTATGAGATAACGCAACAAATATAAATACTGTGGAACCTCTGCGAAACGCCTCGGTTTTCGAACAATTGATTCCCAAACATAAAACTAAAATACATCGTTTCCCGAACAAAATGTTGGCTTCACAGCATGTAAACTGGCAAATGAAATACGTGAGAATAGTGGTTTTCGAATAAAATCAGTTTCCGAACAGTCTTTATTTTAATGGGCAGTTGTTAGTTATTAATTGTTTTTAGCTGTCATGGATGTTGATGTTATTGTACTTAATTGACAGTTGGAATTGTACACATTTATACCAACTTAAATGTATTTTGTGTATTATGTTGTGAAGTATTTTCACACAAGTGGCCCTCTACAGAACTAACGCCAAAGATTTTACAGGCAAAATCGGGCGGATATATACGCCGATCGCCCGCAAAGTGTTAAATAACCTCATAATGCAGATTTTACAACATATAATTAATTAACAAAATACTTGTTAACAACAGTCCAATGAACATTAAACTAAACTGACAGTTATTATTGTATATTACATAGTCATTCGTACCAACTTAACATAAATTAATGTCAATATATTAAGTTACTGCCGTTACACGCGTATTATGGACGTGGCATAATAGACTACAGACAAAAGCTCGTTTCCATGGAAAATACGATTTCTTTTTCTCCGAAATGATTTTCACACGAGTCCTCTTTACTCTTTTGTTTTCTTGGTAAATTTTCTATCTGCTCTCGTGCGTACGCCGTGTGTACATATATTTTTTTTCTACATGCGCTCCTTCTTTTTAAAATCTGTTTCTTTCCAGGTACGAATTGATTTATGTAGGATAATTTCCTTATGCACAATAATAATTTATGTGCACGGTGTGCGTACGAAAGAACGTGCGTCTTGCACGCAACGCAACAATCCGACCGTCGCACGTTGGGGATTCAGTTAATGTCCAGAACATAAATCTCATCCGATATATATATATATATAAAATGTTCATATAATAAAATTGCCTTTGTGCCGTCGTCTCTCCCTAAGAAATTCCTCCTCTCTTGCACATTGAGACGTTGGTCAGGTTTCTATGCTGCACTTGCATCAACGACAAGGAAGATATATAAAAAAATCCACGTATTAATGATTACTTTTCGTAATTTATTTTACGGCAGGTGCGACTATAAATCCGCCGCAGTACGTGAATGATATATGACATAGCGTTTCTTATATAGATTCCTTCAGATCTCCGTTCAACTTTGTTGCAGATCAGTTTTCCTGAACTTGGCCTAATTGTTACAAATTTAAAAATAGTTCTATGTGATAGATTTTTTTCTATTTTTAAAATAACTATGTTATTAATCAAATCTATGTTCTATTTTAAAAATATACAATTTTATTTTTAGAATTTCATTTAATGCTTTGTTTGGTAAATGTAAATTATAAATTATTTCTCGTATTATTTATAACAATTTTAATGAAGAACAATAATAATATATAGTTTTTTTTAGTATATATTTGAATTATTCAATTATAAACTTTTATATATTTTTAAATTTAATTTTTCTAGGAAGAAAGTGTGTAACAAATTATTTATACCAATGTGAACTTTTAACCGTTAGGTAAATTTTAAATGATGGCCTTCAGTTGTTTTATTTATTAGAACTTGAAGTGTGTAACAGTAGCAAAACGCTACTAATTTGAAAATGCTGATGAGTGTGCAGGAATTGTACCATTGATTCCCCCTTTTTCTTTCTCATTTTATTGCATTCTGTAAACCTGCATTTTTTTACGAGCGCACTAAATATAGGCTGTTATTACTAGGCGACATGTCACGCTAGGTCTATTTTAAAGCGTGGACCTTATAGTTGGATTATTAAGTGCATGCTTAATGGTTTCCTAACATGCATACGAATACAATATAAAAATCTAAAGTAGTGCACATATTTCACACATGATGATTGTAATTCTTATAAAATATTACCTTAGTTAAAAAAAAACACGTAACCTTATTTACATCTAGTCTCAGTTCTGTTTTATTCATTAAGATAATTAACTATCATGTTTTATATAAAAAAAAAATATAAAATGAATATCAAATTATGTACTTTTACTATAATCAAATTATTTCTTTTAAAATATGAATCACGTAAATTGTAAAATATTACAAATGGAAATCACATAGTGCGGGTATGTTTTGAAATTTTCAAAGCTGACTATTCCGAATCCGGAAAGATAATAGCCGCACTATGCGAGGTTTTGCTGCATTAACCTTTTTGAACCTATAGGGACAACATGTCCCAATTACAATGTCTATTGGGAGAATAGATCCTAGAAACAATATCTGTTGGGACATAATGTCCCGATACCAATTTATTCTCACAAAATATTTTTTAACATTGGACAAAATATTATTTTTAATAATTTCTACTTCTTTCCAAATCCAAAATCAGATTTGAAGTATGAGATATTTGATAATGATGAGGATATTCAAAATGTCTAGGCTTAGATTTTTTTATAACATTTTACATACATTGTAAATTGCATACATATCGATTTTCATATCGTTTAAATGCAACAAATTGACATATCGAGTTGTAGTTGTAATGAGAGATGGAGAAAACAACTCTGGTTTCTTTTACATCTATTAAAATGATTAAACGATCTGCTATCATGATACATTAGAAATGTGCTCGTACATATCGAATTAAATAAATCATATTATGTGAACACATTTCTAATGTTGATTTATTGAAATACAATCTTATCTTAATATGTCTTTATTGAGGTAAAGTGTTTTCTTATAATATGTTTGCATGAGTTTACAATTATCAAAACAAACACATTTATGAGACAAAATTTTACTACGAATTACATAGAAACCTCGATACTCGACGATTTTGGTACAAGTAAAATTTTGTATTCGTCGCATTTTGAAAAAATGTTGTTCTCGAAGGTTATCGTAACACAGTTAATATAGATACATTTTTCGACATACGACCAGTCATACTTTTCATTAAAAAAAATATTATAAAATATATTTCTATCGGGTCTATATCGAAATCCCGACAATCAAATTCCCGACAACGAAATCCCGACTGAATCGGGTGTCGTAAACTGAATATATCTATTATTGAATTTAAGTGGGTTTATATAAGAATGGAAGTAAAATAAGATCATAGTTTGCAAAACGTTTGCACAGTGCTCTAGTCTACTCTCCGTAATTGGATTACAAAGGTTCGAGTTAGACCTAGTTTCAGGAATTATTTGGGTCATTAGTGCGAGGATTTCCTGTCCGATTAAGTTCTGCTTTTACATATAGTTAAATAGATGATGTTAACTTCTTATCAAATTGATTGGTTGAATTCACATTTATGTAATACTAATGTTCATTTCTTGTTTCCAGATCTTCCAATGTCGATGGAAACAGCCCCCTGGGGGAAACCCGACTGGTCGCGCCGTCCGTCCGACAGGTGCACCCCGTCTGCGATGAGAAGGCTCAGCTCCTGGCCTACGACAAGTGCGACGGAGGAGTCGGAGGCGGTGGAGGGAAGAGATCCAGTTTGGGAGAGGTGAATGGAAGCCCTCCTCCGTACCCTAAACGCGCCAGCTTGGAGTCGAACCCCAGTCCGACGTACCCTCTAACGCCCAACATTTGCGTCGAGGGTGGCCGCATCGAGTTCATAAAGCCGCCCCCAGAAGGCGACACCGCAGCCACCACTCCGACGGAAACGCCTCCGACGCCGCCCGCGACGCCCCGCGTCGTCCGCGTCACCGTCACGCGCGCCCTGCAGACAGATGATGCAGACAATAAGTGCGAGGATAGAAAGGTAGGTGGCGCCACGATCATCCACTATTAATTATTACCAAAATATGTCAAATGTCAAAATGCACAAACTAATTACTTATTAAACATTCAAATAAATTGCTTTCATAATTTATTAACAAAAATTATACGCTATAAATTATTTTGTATCATAATTTTACCTGTCAGCAAATGATACAATTTATGAGTAAAATTAATATTAAGTAAGTATTGATTTTATATGTGTATATTTTTAAAGTTGAGACAAAACTTGTTATAGTTTAAATCCTACTTAAATTCTTCTTTAGAAATGAATATAATTTTCGTCAAAATGTAGTTTCTGTGTTTCTGAACCTTTTGTATTTGAATAACTCTCATCAAATACATGATTTACTTGATATTTGAAATTTTATAAAAACGACAATCTTTGGTAATTTTTTTTAAATTTTTCGTAAAATTAGGAAAATATGAAACTAAAATTGTGATGGTAGTCGCACTTGACTCAATGTGGAACCGCATTTGCCCAACCAGCGGTCGGGGAACTTTTTTAACCATAACCCCAAAATATTATTGCGTAAGTCGATATTACCCCCCCCATTATGAAAAGAAAACAATCAATGTAAATTTTAAATAAATATTATTATTGAATTAACTTACATTTACATATTTATAAAAAAAATACATGAAAATAGTAACAAATAGTAATAGACAAATGGCAGCAATTTTTTTACCAAAAAGACGACAGATTTGCTTTGGTCTCAAATTGAATACGTGCTTCAGTACTGGATCGAAGTTCAAGAATTGCCTCTGCCAAACCTGGAGGTTCTTCTGGTACGTTAGTAATTTCACATTTAAAAGGATCTACAACCCAATTTTGTTTGTATATCAAGATCTGGAAAGTAGTCAGAGAACCGCTCTCTGAGTTTGGTAAGATGAAATTATAAAAATTTCATTTTTACCCCATTTTGGGTAATTTACCCCGGTTCCCCGACTGCTTCTATAAACCAATGATATTATGGGTAAATTTCCTATGTTTTCTAGGATAGTTTAAAAGAAATCTCCGTGAATATGAATAGAATTTTAGTTCAAAAATGTACTTTTTTTGATTCATCCTAGAAACTTTTCAAACTATACGTATTTTAACAACTCTCATCAAATACATTACATTAAACAAATAATATTTGAGAGTTTACAAAAGCTAAACAAAGTAACTCGTATTAGGTTTAAAAATATAACATCAATCAACTAAAGTATCGATTCAGATTTTAGAAATTGAGTATAAATTTAACTTTTTTTTTAAACTTACGAAATAGACTATAAAGAAATATCTACATTTTTTTAAAGAAAAATTTACTATAAATTTGGTATAGTTCAATAGATAAAACGTTCATACAGATAAATTTAAATAAATGTTCAACGCTTCTAGTAACTATAAAAAAAATAGAATTTGATATATTTAGCGAAATTATCTTTAATATTTATTGTTATTATCCGGTGCTTGAGAGATAATATATATTAATAAAGTACTATAAAAAAATGGATTATTACGAGAATGAAAGTTTATTTGTATTAATTTAAGGCACTGACTATTTTACTTTATTCTTTTTTTAAACCCTCGGTTCCCAAACATAAATATTCTAAATATCAAGAAAATAAATTCAACTTTTTTTTTTCAAGTACGAAAATAAATATTACTATGTATTCTTAAGAATTGTACAAATATAATCAATTCAATTAATTTTCAATTATTTTCTGTGGTAAAGCTGAACACAATGCTTTGTGTAAATATATACTCTTGAAAGGTCTTTACATTCTATAAATAAGATACATATAATTGAATAGAAATTCTCCAGAATACGTTATCTATTGAGTAGTTAATATCATGATTAAAACGTTCCCATTGTATTCATACAAAGTATTAATATACACCTCAAAGCGTTGCTTCAAATACACCATTGAATGATGGCAGCACCATTACCATTCATAATTAATGTACAATTCGAACTAGTTCACTGGTCCACAATCAATTAGTTCGAATGGTATTATAGTATATAACAAAACAATGTAACGTTGTCAGTTGTCTTGTATCTCACGCACGAGATATGCATGCGTCTTCATATAATTTGCGCAAACGTTGAAAGCTAAACGATGCACGATTACTTTGATAAATCTTCGGTGAATGCTAGTCATGAAAATATGCACAAAACGAAATATAAATACACCATCGTCACGCAAGAATGATAATAAATCGTGGGTCGTAGTTATGAATGGGCTCGCAGCTTTATCTCTTTAAGAGTGATAAATATACCCTTTTGTATCCACCATTCGTGGTAACCAGTGTTAATGTGTTGTGCAGCTTAATCACGTGTTGTTACCGTTAAAGGATTTAAGCAAATTTATCGTCGTTTTAATCCGACCCGTAATTTTATCAGGATATCACAAGTATTTCTTTCAATTGTCCAGATTACAATTCTATTATATAATTATTATTACAATTAATTCCTTGTCATAAAAGAAGTGATACCATTTCGTTTTACACCATGTTGTTGAGGTTATGGCAGTTTTCATTCGACAATATGACTGTCAAAAAAACTTCACTTATATGTCAATGTATCTAACCAAAAACAGTTGTCAAAACTTGTTAGATTTTATATAAATTGGATTATGTAAAGTATATTACGAATATACTCAACAAATTAAAGTAATGTGACATTGAAATGTGTAATTTTATCGGGATATACCAAGTATTTCTTTCAATTGTCCAGATTACAATTCTATTATATAATTATTCTTACAATTAATTCCTTGTCATAAAAGAAGCGTTACCATTTTGTTTTACACCATTTTGTTGAGTCAGTGTATGCCAGTTTTCGTTTGATAATATGACTATCAAAAAAAAACTTATATGTCAATTAATTAATTAGATTATATAAAGTATAGTGAAGATAGTCAACAAAACAACGTAATGTATCGAAAGTTAAGCAACGGTTGATATGCATTTTATTTGGGTGGGTAGCGTTTGCCAACTTTAGAAAAATTGTATAATATTGTAATAGAATTGAAACGATTTGTTAGACTAATAATAGTTGTCACCGCACTTATTCATACTCAATCGACCATTAAAAAGAAAACCTTGTAACCAATTAATTTACTACTAGTAAAAAACAAGAAAATAAATTCTAAAACAAAACACTCACAATTTATAAGGCTGATTGATGGTACCAAAACTTCTGAAGAATGAATACTATCTGACAGTTCACTCAATACACAAATAGAATGATGAAATTTAACACTCTGTTATAATTTTGTTACATCTATCTTCGGAATCGTCATTTAAAATTAAAATACTGAGTATGTTGAGAAATACTTTTGTTTTGGAATTTTGGTTATTTATAAAATAAATGATTGCAAGGATTGCAAAATTGAAACTATTCGTGACTTGGGAATGCGCACTAAAAATAAATATGCTTAATTTATTTCTACTTCTAGCATTGATGAATCATCTCAATAGCTTGAACTTTCTCGCCGTGCGGACTATCCTTAAAGATGTAATTTCTTTTGTATTCACAACACGAATAGATTTAAATAAATAAATATAAGAAAATATATTCGTATTCAATTATAAACAATCAATTAAAGAGTGTTGAAATGAAGATTATATAATTAAATGTTTTGTTCTAAAATTTTCAATATTTTTAGTGAAATCTGAAAAATTCTATTCGACCATTGTAATACGCTTAATGCGTTAAATAAAAACAAAATAATATAAAATCATGGTGCGTAATATACACGGAACAAAGTATTCGCATATATTACTACAGACGATGATTCGTTTAAAGTTAGGTTAGTTAGTTTATTGGTTAAAATTTAAAAAAAGTATTTAAATTAATGGTGCGTCTTATATACGAAAACAGTATTCTCATATATTACTTTTGTCGATTTGTTCGAAGTTAGTTTTATTTGTTAAAATTTTGTAATGTAATGAAAATGATGTTGCGTCTTATACACTAATAGTACTATTATTACTACTGTCGATTTGTTCAAAGTTAGTTTCAGTTTTTAAAATTTTGTAAAAGTATTTAAAATCGTGTTGCGTCTTATATACGAAAACTGTATTTGCATATATTACTATTGTTGATTTGACCAATTTTGTAAAGTAATTAAAATCATGATGCGTCTTATACGAATACGAATACTACTATTGTAGATTTGTTCAAAGTTAGTTGTATTTGTTAAAATTTTGAAAAGCTCTTTAAAATCATATAGGAAAACAGTATTCTCACATATTACTTCTATCGATTCTTCTTATACACGAAAACAGTATTCGTATATATTTTTACTATCGATACGCAAAGTTAATTTTATTTGATAATGTTTTGAAATATATTGATAACGTGTGTTGTGTCTTATACAGTATTTGTGTATATTATTACTGTAATTTTATTGAAAGTTAGTTTTATTCCTTTAAAAAAGTCGTGGTGTGTTTTATACACAATTCGCATATATTACTACTGTGGATTCGTTAAATGTTCGTTTTATTCATTAACATTTTGAAAAAATATTTCAAATTTTGGTGCTCTCTATATACGAAAACAATATTCATATATATTTTTAAAATATATTTAAAATCATGATGCGTATTATACATGAAAATAGTACTTGTCTAATATTATTACTGTCAAAGGTACACTTTGAAATTTAAAAAAATATACATAAAAAATATGTGTACAAAGGCCTATTGACCACACAAATTATAATAAACCAGATTATTTAACTTTTGTATTATTTTGGAATATTCTTAGTCTCATTTCCTTAAACTATATATTTGGGCTAAACTAAGCACAGTTCTGCAAACTACCGTTTATCTCGGTCGAGCTGCTGCGTCGTGTTTGCCTCCAAACCGACATTATGTATCTTGTGCATGTTGTTCTTAGTCACTTAAAACCACATCTCTCGACGGATCCGTGGTAATAATGGTCGTGTCATACTCGTAGAGGCAGAACTTAATAGACATTGCATAAGATA